CTTACGTCAACAAACCCACCCCACGCAGCTATTAAACTCTCAAGAAAGGATTTCAGTGGTATCCTTTTTTTCTCATCGAGTAGTATCGGGTGGTGTGTTTTCCCAGAAATTGGCTCGGGGCACTCGATTTCATGGGAGGGAGCATCTCATCACAGCAAGGAAAAAAAACTCGATCAATCCTCGAGCCCATACTCAAAAATCAATGGGCATTAGTATCGATCGAGGGATCAATGAACCCAAATCACTGGGATGAAATGAAGCTTATACTTGAATACTTGAATGAAAGAAAAATTCTTGGGTATATATTGACGATAAAATACACAAACCGAGTTGGGTTAGGGACAAGTCTCTGGTAACCGGGGTTATAATGTTTGTTGAGCGGGCGTGCCTCGTTGGTGCCTCTACTCGGCTGCTGCTTGTTTTGTCGTGTCGCGGTCAGGTACATAGCCTCTCAGCATTATACGGTACGTTATGCCGACGGTTAACGTAATCGTTCGTTTGAATTGCTCATGAAATTTGCTGTACCAGCTGACTGCCAAAGCGTCAACCAGAATTTTCCAGTTGTGATTAGAGATGCAAAGTGACCGTCATTTTTTAGACCGCGGTATATGGCCAAAAATGACGGTCATGTAACGCAGAAATTTCCTGACTACAAATGATGGTCACAAATAATTTCTAAGCGAATTGTTGTCAAACATCTATATAGATGCATAATGACGGTCATAACTAATTTCTGATTTGTGACGGTCATAAATATAACAAGTGGGGAATTGCTCGCGTATTGCATATATAGTAGTTATTTTTGCTAATAAATTAGCAATATGCTTTCGAATGATTATTCTGCACATCATTTCCCTCGGTCATTTATAATTCATTGTTTATTTAATTTTATTAAATTGAGTAAGATTTAAAAAAAATTAATTTGATCAGATTTTCAACTTAGTGGAATGTTATAATCATCATTATTCTTATTATCTCTTTCTTCTATACAACAGATTTTCTTTTTTATAGTTCTATCTCTCCCTTCAGCCCTTCGAGAAAAGTTTATTTACACATACTTGAATGAATTTGAAACATCACATTTGAAGAAACCATCAGAAAGCTTACTTTCAGGGAAATCCATGACAAACTCTAAATATTCAACAATCATAACAATCAAATCAATTTTTTAATCAATCTTTTAACTTCGACTTAATAGCATGATAACAAACATTTTAAGCTATAATTGAATTCATTTGAAGCATGATATTCAAAGATATCCCCGCAATTCTGATTTTCAAAAAATACAAAATTTTTGCAAATTTTCAAATAAATCAAAATAAACAAACAAATTCTTTAAGCCATCATTCAATCAATTCAGAACATTTCTCTTAGTTATTGTGCGATAACTGATTTTCGAGAAAAAAAACGAAAATTGAAAAGACTAAACGATGAATTAAATTTTAATTAATGGCCGTCGATAGGGCTCAACAATATTTGAAAATTGAGGTTAATTGAGCATTAAATATTGATGTTATCGTGAAATTTTTTATGAAATCTGAAATTTCATGATTTTTTTCACTTTAAATTGCATTCAGTAGCACTGTCCTGAAAATTGCTAGTCAAATGTCCACGGAATTTCATTTTTTTCTAACAGTGTATCATTGAGAATGGGGCCATTAATAATAATTAATAAATAAAATGTGCACGTCCACATGAAAAGGGGCCACTTTGTCGATTCTAGTTGCCGAGATATTTACATTTTTGTGTCACCAACTCCTATTTGCACAAATATTAAATTGTTTTTTCCATCTTCTCCAACGACGTCATTTTTGACGCTATGAAGATCATTTTGGGCTCAAAATGTGCGGAATGTTATCAATATTATCAGAGCATACATAACACCATATCGACAAAGTGGTCCCTTTCCATGCGGACGTCCACAAATAATAAATGATAATAATTCAATTCCATTAAAAAGTTTTCCGATCGAGCCTTCAAAAAATGGCCCAAAAAATAACCGAAATGAAAGTGACGGTCGATTTACAATTATATAGACGATTTTTGGTCATTTTGGGTCGTGTCTGACGCAGCTTAACTGTCAGAAAACGCTTAGAAACCGATCATTTAAATCTGACCTGATCGAAAGGGAAAATCGCGGTCATTCGACATCTGTAGGCTTATCAATGCTTGGGATTCCTGCACAGTCACTGACACAACAACAACAGAAAGATAGTAATATTTATAATACTACTATCGTCTGTATTTTAATCTAAAATGAATCAGTGAATTCTTGCGTTCAGCTGCATCAATCCTGAAATCTCGAAAGTGTCATGATTTCCCATTTTCATAGCTTCAAAATATGTTGTTGCTGCTACAACAACGCAATCTTTCAACCATGCGTATTTGTTCCAGTCATTCTCGAAAATCTTCACTGAAATTGAGTTCTATTTAGAATCAATAGACACCCACCTAAGGAAATTACGAAGGACTCTGAGGACTCTCCGAGGGAGGAGCGTCGCTCTTCCCTAGGTCTATATGCAATCTAACTAGTAATTTCAAACTTACATCGGCTTAACTTTTGGGGTAATCATGTAGTAGGTAAATTACATCACACGACCGAGTTTATGGAGTTATTGGACCCCTATCCCAGCGGACTCTATCTCGCCAAGTGGAGTTACTGCACGACGATACCGATCACACCAGTTTCCACTCTACTCGTGTATTTGTGCATGCACTGCGAATTGAGTACATTCGTCGATCAGGCAAATATACTATTACCCTGATTAATATTCCAACATTCATGGCGCTGATTTTCATCGGCAATCTCTATCCTATTTTTAATCCCCAGAACCCGATAACCGCAAATCATACCAATCGTACACGTATCATCGGTTTTTAATGATATTTAACTCACATCCAATGCGGCAGATTAATTGAATATTACGGAATTATAGGCGTTTACCGCTGAGTATCTGTCATCGTGCGTCTGCGGTTAATGAATTATCGGGTAAACTTTGATATAACTAATAAAAACTAGGAAAGTCGTGATTAACTCAGTCCAATATCAATCAATATTTATGGATTATAAATTATTGGAACTTTTCATTTTCTCATGTAATCGGTTTAAATGGCGCGGGAAATAGCCGTTAGTGGAGCCACCTGGCAGCCATTAAACTGTAATTATTTCGAAGCTCTCATCGAGTTTGTTCGCCACATTTTCCCTATCGATTTATCTCTCCATTCACAATCCGCATTTTCCCATGAATTCTCAATCGCCAGAAAATCCCAACAATTTTCTCTCCTCATGCCCCAAGTCCCACCTGAAATTTACAGCTATCCATCATTGACAATCTCGCTTCCTTATCAATTACACAATCTGCAAAATCCACATTTTCTGCCAGTGCCGAACCGGTAAATCTTCCGCACATTTTCACCTCATACAGTGTTTTTTTTCTCATTTCCAAGATCCAGGAACGCTACAATCAAGTCACGACTCGACATAGGCGTGGTGCCTTTTATACTTTCTAAGAAGATGGACGGTTCTGACCTCTCAAACGTTCCGCGTGCCTCGAGAGATGCTTTACGATTCCTCGCCATCTGTGTGTATAACAGCAAAAACCCCCTCCCACCCCCTCCCAACAAACCGATCGACTCTATCGATTATTCAAGACTCGTAAGTTGTTTATGTCCATTATATCCCTCGACGTTTTGATCGTTGCACACGGGGCATGAGTATTTTGTACTTAACCAAGAGCTAAACCCAAGGTAGTATCCCGCTTTCCGGGATATACTCTCGAGGCGCCCTGAATCTAGATGGCCACGAATTTAGCCAAGAGGCACGCGCAATAAATTGTATTTAGTGCCTTCGGAGAATCTCTCCCTCCCTCCGCTACATACACCAAAGGCATACACTGATTTTAAACGCTTTCGCTGGTGTGTCACATACTTGATAGAAGCATGAATAATTCGCGGTGATCGAAAGGGGGACTATTATCCTGGAGGAGAGTAAAAAAACGGGTGGTGGGATATTAGCGTGTGACCGTCGCGGAAAAACGTCGTAATAAGAAATAAAAGATGGTGACGCGGTGAATGACGGAAAAGGGCGGCGCGGGGGAGAGAAGGAGAGTGATTCTCCCCCCAGTTCCGGAGAGATTCAAAGACAACGTTAGAGGTTGAATCTTGGCGTGCAAACGAGAGAGGGTTCCAAGGAGAGTGGAGTTAGCGAGATGCTTGATAGTGGGGGAATCGATTGGTCATGCGCACAAGAGGGTAGGGAGGGTTTTCACGTTAAGTGAGCGACTCCGGCGACGGGTGGAGGGTGTGGTGTGCAGCATCACGAACGAGGGAAAGAGGTGATGAGGGGAGAAAGACCTAAAACCTCGTGGAGGGAGAGAATTTACCCCTGCTATGACGTTTCCGCGCCGGTCCAGTACTACTCGTTTATAGGTTCTGCCACTGGCGCGCACTGTATACGCTAGGCAACACAGTGGGGTTTATATTTTCCCCCCTGTGTGCGACGGAGACGAGGGTACAACGTCATGTGACTGGAGGCGGTACCACACCCCCGGCGGGGGTGTGGAAGGNGCGCCACGGCGCCCCACGCCTCGAGCCACAGTGCGACGTCGCGACGCGCCACGTGCGGTCCACTTTTGGCTATACAACACGAAAATCACTTCCTTCCTTCCTTCCTTCCTTCTTCCTCCTCTCGTTCGCGCTTCGCGATTATCGTGGTCAAATTGAGGAATGTTGTTTAGGAGATAACCGGCGTGCATTAATTCGTACGTACGAGTTTATACGGCGATCAAGTCTCCTCCCCCCTTGCAAGTCTCCCCCTCCCATACGCTGCAGCGGTATTAACCACGCGATACCCGAGGGATTCAATGTATTGTTGACGAGCGCACGAGCGTCGTTGCCGCAACGGCCGCGATTTTACACTGAGCGATACTGTTTTTTTTTTAATTGTTGAGACGCTCGGCCGTTGATTTTTTGTTTTGTTTTTTTTTTGTTGGGGTTGTTAATGAACTGTGATACGGGGGTCGTTTGTTCGGACACGTGTCGCTGTTGTAGAGGATAGGAACGCACGATGTAAGGTGAGTTGGGGGGTTGAGATTTTATGGAGGTTTGAGGGAATTATTATGGAATTGTGTGAACAACAGTTTTTTGTTGGATATACGATGTTCGGGTGAGGGGAAGGCCGTGCAGAATATCGCGAATTCCGCCGTCGGCTCGACTTCATGGCCATTGTGTTCTGAATGAAAATTGTGCAGTCTTGGTTTATGAGAATGAAAAATTGGAGATTCGTGCAAGTGAAATAAAATGATGGAGGCAGAGTAGAAGGAGACCTTGTGTGCAAATAAGAGACTGTAAATACTGGGAATGTTGTTTGCAAGGAGGAAAATATTTAATTGGATTTTTGGTAGTGCTGAGTTACTGCGTGTGTACTGAATAATAATGAATGAAAATAAAAATTGAGGGAAAAATAAAAGGTATACAGGTGGGTGAAAAGCACGGGAGTTTTTCTCGGCTTGGTGGAGGGGGTGGTAGGATGGTTTGCTGCGTGGCACTGGTGGGTACTGGCTTGGCAAAGTTTTTGCAATTAAAAGTCAGTTGTCGCACCTCTGGGAGTCGTATTTAACTTTACTTAACTAAATTCAGTTGACGGAACGCCCCGGGGAGCCGAAACGTCGTGGCTCGTGTAATCCAGCTCTCTCTCTCTTTCTTCTTTCAACCCTCTCCCTCCGTTCTATCTCTCTTTTAACTTTTCTTTACGTTTTAATCTCTAATCCCCCGTCTCGTATTTTCACCGTGGTTTTTCTGTGCCGTGTGGAAAACCCCGTTGTTCATCGCATTTATCACTTTGAATGTCGTTGACAAGTTGACTGATTGTTTGAGGGAAATAAAATTTTTGTTTTGCAGATCAATTAGAGCGGAGATGTCGTTTTTACCGGGCACGTGAGTGGATTGTGAGAGACTGAACGTTTGATTTGGTGATTTGTTTATTGTTCGTGACACTGTCCAGCTGCAATAACGGGGGAAACCGGCAACAACATGTCTTATCTGGCCTTGGACTCCAATGCGTGGCAGGTGAGTCGAAGAAATCAAGGAAAATTTTTTGTTGATTGAGGGTAACAGAAGGCCACCCTTTCCCCGAAATTTTCGGTTGTACACTGATAGAAAGAATTAGTTATTGTTAACGAATGGATTTGATTGGAAACGAGGGTCTATTTGGTCTCACCACACTGAGAGAAAAATATGATTCTTCTGACTATATTCCATCACCATCGAATTATAGTCAAAAAGTCCTCAACAATTTTTCATGGGTTACGGTAACTATGGCCGGAGAAGTAATTACTACAATGGAATGGAGTCATTGCAACTATTTTATAGTTCTACTCACGATAGATTTGTCGTGGTTACTTTTGAACTTTGGTTAGTTTACCTGCATTTTGATTTGCAAAAATTACGCTTGTGAAGTTACTATAATGTTATGTGTCGCATACAAAAAAAAATCGTATCGTTCACCAAAACTGCCACAACTATTTTCTTATTGTAAATCGAACTTCAGATTTTTCTCTCAGTGCAAATGTGCATTCGTCAATAGTTAACAAATGCACATTTGAGGAGCCTTGTTTGAGTCGATTTTCATTTTTCAAGTGAACCATTCGTTAACTATTAACGAATATTCATTTGGTCATATTCAACTTTACCATTCGTTAATAGTTAACAAATCTCGCTTGGAATAAATGAATCAGACTATCAGTGTAATACTCCGGGACCTGCAAAATTATCGGATATTTCCCGATAGTTTCGTTGCATAGCGACAAAAGACATGATTTTTCTGCGAAACTCATCCAAGGAGGGAGGAAATTCTCTGCTATAATGCCCCAAGACCTTTGAAATTATCGGATATTTCCCAAATATTTTGTTGCATATCAACGATAGGGATCAGAGGTTACAGCAAAACCGATCCCGATCGTTGATATGCAGGAAAATTTATGGGAAATATCCGATGAATTTTGAAGATCGAGGGGTATTCGGAGGACAATTCTTCAATTATATTTAATTATGGTTCTTAAAAATAGTGACAACAATAGCAAAAAATATGGATTGCATAGATTTAATGCTTGAAAAAATACAGTGAAAGTTTCACACTGATTAGGAATCTCGTTCGTGAGAAAATGAAAAAGCAAAACTGTGGACATAATGCTAACTCTGTTAAAAATGGCGACAAAGATCCGAAACTTCGCTGAAAACATGGAGAAAGTGAATAGGATTTCATCTTAATTATCATTCAACCGTGTAAATTATTCCATTGTTTTATTTATTCAAAATGGGTTGTAATTCAGAAACAGCGTTAAATAATTCAGTAGTGAAGTGGTGAAACGAGGCGAGTCAATTTCAAACATTGGAAAATGTACACTCTTAGAACGGATTTAGTTGCTGTTAACGAGGCTTCTAAACTATTAACACGATTCGTCAATAGTTGACGAATGGCATTGAGAGCTACACGGAGAGAAAAATTTAATAACATGGTGTGAGTCGGTGCTCAAATTGTACGAATCGCCACGTAAATTCTGCAATTTGTTCCGTAAAAATGAACCACTCATCCGATGACTCACCGCTGCGGGGACAACAAGTCGTTCCGTAATTTTTCCCCAACGATTAATAAATTTTACGGAATGGAACGTAGAAATAACTCACCAGCTTGATAAAAATTGTTGAACGTTCAAGAATTTTTGATTTTGGAGGCATAATAAATCGGAAGTTTCCGTAAGATTTTACTTCTTCGGGAAAAATTACGTGACAATTTCGTACTTTGTTCGGTGATGAGCCTGAAAATTCACTGAACGTTTCAGATTCTGCTCTTCCATTCCTATAAAAATTGCCAGAAAACGATTCCCCATTGCGGATTACGTGAATTGTTCCTTAATTTTTACTGAATATTTCTCTCTGTGTAAATCGTTTCACTTTTCCATCAGTGTTCTTACTGAACATCTTTAAATTGAAGGCCATTCGCCAGATTTTCATGAACACTTCCCTCCGGTCCTTATTTCCTTCTGCAGAAACAAACTCGCTTGTAACATTTGCCTATTTTCGTTGGCCGCGGAAATATTCGGAACACACTCACGCTCAAGTTAAGTTGACTTAGGAGAGCTGCTAAAGCTTCAATGTAGTTTCGAGATAAATTATCCAAATGGGACGAGCTTGGTTGCAAATATATATTTTAAAGCACAGAACGAAAAATCGCTAAGAAAATAAAGAAAAATGTTCAAATTAGGAATTCTAGTCCTACTTTGAGGATAGACATACTTCTGTAATCGAGAAAAATTTCTACCCTAAAAAGCTAGTGCATTGCATTGGTTAATAGGTTTACCTTTGGCAAGCTAAGCAGCACTATAGCGTGGTCACTAAGTGGAGTGGTGACCATGGGGGAACACCTTGAAAAGAATCATAGTTCCCGGTTAATTGAGACTCAGCAACAGGAAAGAGTAAGAGTCAAAACCGGAAAGAAAGTATCCGTAAAGACTTAAAGGTACACGGTAATGCGAGAATTTATAATTTTAAAAAATCTCTCGCTTGCAGATTTCTTCCTTTCGATATTTCATACTTCGTATAATTTTTAATTCCATCAAATTCATTTATCCTTCATCATTGTTTCAAGAAGTAATGGGGTAAAGTGGATCGTCTTTCTTTTCAACTGTCTTTTAGGAAAGCTCTTCCCTCTCTTCACTGTCCAGAAAAAAAAGAGGAAAAGAAGTTTTGATCTTCAGGAACATGTTCCTGATTTTCGAAACCCGGAACATGTCCCTGGAAATTAATGACATGTTCCTGATTTTCAGAAATCTATCCCCAATTATTAGGGATTGGTGATTGTGCAATTCAGCGAGTAAAATTCTGAAATTCACTGATTTTGTCACCAATTTTCAGTGACATCACTAGTTTCCAGTGACATCATTACTAATTTCCAGGGACCTTATCAGCACTTTTCAGATTGATACCATTGATTCTCAGGCACCCATATCTAATTTTTAGAAATCCATCTCCAAATTTCAATGATGCAAATCACTGATGATCAGGTTCATTGTAATCAGGTCGGATGTCCAGTATCACCAATACTGGTTGATAGATTGTTGCCAATCAATGACATGTCCCTGGAAATGAGTCACATATTCCTGGAGATCAGTAACATGTCCCTGCAAATCAAAAAAAATTTTTCTCTGCGGATTTCGCGTTCTTAAATTCTCGCCAGCGATAAAAAATGTTCCCTCCCAACCCCCGTAACTCGATGAACGTATGCACGATTAATCTCTATATAACCTGGAAACTAGATCCACGTAGATTTATTCAGTTAGCCCGATTCTGTCGACTAGATTGGTAGCTCACCAGCGTTAAAGGAGCCTCACGCGATTATCGCCTTAAACTTCATCTCTGATACAGTAAACCTCTCTGTGCCCCGTGTATCGGTATAGGCTTCCTCTGTTGCTCTCATCGGATCTCGTTGTCGAAACGCTAAACGGATCTCTCCACCCTCCCCTCATCCTGGAATACACGAAGTTCTCTTAAATGCCGCATGAATATTTATACAACGGTCCATCGCGAAACTATATCTCCTAGCCCGTGAGAAAATTTTGCCTTTCGTGACTATGATCCTAGTGTTTCAAGACACGAATGTCTGAAATCTCTCCTCCTCCTCATCCGCCCCCCCCCCCGAAATATACAAGAAAAAATATATGAAGATGTAATTCCATGCTCACTTGTGGAGACTGAAAGCCAGGGAATATTTCAAATCGACGCTGTGTACTCTGTTGCGAATCGTCGTTGTCTGGAAATTCCCCACCTGGGGCGACAATCGATAGACCACTTCACAGAGTTATAGAAGTGAGATAGCGAGAATGGTCTGTACAGGCAGGAGCCAGAGCGAAGCCGTGAAATATTGGACGTAGGGTGAAGCATACTGGGGACGAATTCCCCATCAGACTTTACACAGTGAAAAAATTTCCCCAAAAAAAGGGGAAAAAAATTGTACAGCAATATGTTACTACTTTACCGGAGAATGTATCCGTCAAACTCAACCCAAAAGTGGAATAAAGTCCACCGGAAATGTGGAGGTAAATCGGGAAATGAAGTTAGTCGGCCCTTGGGAAAATTCAATTTCCAGTAAACCCAACGGATTTAACGTCGATGAACCCTAATACACTCCCTGTCGTCCCCACACTGAAGCACCCATTGACTTTAAATACAGAAGAACAAACTCAGTTCATCCCTTTGTGCCGCAAACACTTCAATGACCCTCGACAAAACCGAGTGATTGTGTCGTCACGATGTTATTCACGAATTTGCCCACGTGCTTGGTAGACAAATTCCCCTGGAAGGACCGTAATTCTCATTTTCAACCCGAGTCAAGGGGATATTTTCGCACTGCCAGTGGAATGAAACATCTATTTGCACATTTCTCAATAAGCATGATACTGGTCACGTGGCAGTCGCGAGTGCTGGGTCGTGTCACTCGGTCTTGGAATAACACAGGGGCTGGATTTAATACTCTTCAGACCGACTCCAGGAGTCTATGCACACAAGGGCTTCATATATTATTGACCGCAGGGAGCGTGAGAGTGTCTGTGATGACACTGTATTAGACCCCACTAGGTTAAAGGAGCGTGAAAAATCCAGACAATTTGATGGTGCACAGTGAAAAAAGTTTCTACCCTGGTAAGAGATGAGAAAAGGCCTAGAGTAGGCCGAGGATGGCCTGGCGGTGGCCAATCTTGGCCCATTCCTCATCTCCTACCAGGGTAGGTTTCAGGAAAAATCTTTGAATGCAAGCACCCTGTTGTGCTAAAATCTAGCGAGCGAAAAATTCTCGAAATGAGTGAAATTTTTAACTGTACAGAAAAACTTAAACGTTAATTATGTTTTCATAAGTGTAAGTTACAGTTTCTTAAACGTAATTTAAACATACAGCCGATATGATGTCTGCTGGTTTTTCCCATCATGAAAATCGGAATTTAGGCTTCAAAAAGGCGTATTTTACGGTCAAAACAAAAACGTAAATTACCCCCAAACGAAAGTGTCTGTTACGTTTG